AGTTATTATGTAAATCTTCTTTTCAAAACTGATGTGTTTGAGGTATTTTGGCAGGCTTTCAACTCTGTTTCGAAGTAAACGGTTTTATGTTTGTAAAATAACAAATAAGTTTTATCTGTTCATGAAATTTTGCACATAAGATTGTTGACATGAGTGAAGTTAAGCCAATAAAAATGTATCTTTGGTTTTTTAAAAAACCAACGATGATGTTTCTATATTAATCATTATGCAAATAAATGCACAGGTATTCTGACTAAGGAAGTGTTTAATAAATCGCAATCGTAACATTATTGTATTTAGGCCAAAATGAAAGAGTTTTTCATTTACACCGTCCCCCAACCGAGTTGACCAAGTAAACCTCTCTTTAACGTTCAGGCTACACAATAATGTAACAAACTTATACCGAAGTTTATTTTTACAGGCCCCTTACTGAGTCAACCGTTTTATTGAAGAACATTTTTGACAAAAGATTTTTAGATTTCTCGTTGAAGTTTTATTGTTACAGCTATTGATAGACTAGCGGATATTTATAACAAACTGATTGTTTCGTTAAACATAAATACTCAGTTCTTTACAAAATAAATGTGTACACATTAAAGCTCAATTTTTATTTGATTTTATTACATTTTATTATTACAAGCTGTAGCTATAACGTTCTATCATGGATTGGACAAACACTATGATTCCCAAACTTGAAAAAATGACCCAAGTTACCTCGCCTTGATTACACTTTAATGCAAATGACGTCAAATTTCGACTTCATTACCTCCCTGGAAGTCAAGTTTACACGTTTATGTCGTCAATATTTTGACTCCAGTTAACTCGCTTGACGCTTCCAGTTTACACTGTTATTAGTAAAAATTATTAAAGTCCTGTGGAACAAAATTTTAATAAAATTGAAAACACAATTTTACAAACAAAATAAAGCACCTTCAGAAAATGTGAAAGTGAAATTATTATCATAATATCAAACGAATAATAACTTCGTATGGTGTTTAAAATTGTGTGCCATATCATAATAAATAATACAATCAAATCCAATTGACACACACATGCGCACGCATACGCATTAAATACACTCTTCCTGAAGAAAATGTAAAATTTCATTTCTGGCACACGACCGCAGTTATTTGCTCTTGGCTACCCACAATACAGAAGAAGTTACACGAAAAATAGTCCTTTGTTTCATGCTGAATATTAATTTAACAGAGGAGATAAAAAATGATTGATTAATGATTTTAAAACAATTTGAGTATTAGCATATGCACACTGACCATTTTAGACACGGGTGTTTTGCCTGCTTCCGGTCGTCATGACAGTATATCTTCATACGCACTTTATAAAAGTGACTTTAAAAAATATCGGTTACTGTTTTTTCATATCCTGGCATTTTGCATCATTTATTCTGCTTTCATTCTCAATATTAATATGGCACTTTGATGATACACCATCACTCAACATGAGTCCTCTATAGGTTTTTCATGAATATCCTTCCATGTACCTTACAAACCGTTTATTTGAACATGTACTGAAAAATAAGTTGTATGGCCATGAAAGCTTATGTCAAACAGTCTTTTCAGAAATATTCCATATGGACGTGTAACTACATGAGCATCTTTGAGCACCAATTTTGGCTATGAATGATGTAACTAAACACGTAATTACAAATATCACTGACGTCATGAAATATGTCATCATTACCATCATATGTATGAAACAACACGAAAATTGCACTCTCTATGGCGTTTTAGCCAAATGAACAGTTCGATGTACAAGATCCAAACATTTCCTGAAGAATTCATCACACTGTTGGTCATCTAAATCAGGCTTCCCAATTTTTTCCTTCATTTTCTATAAATACAAGATAATGAAAGTTATTTATTACATTATTAACAAATTTAATTATTCCGATCTGGGGTGTGTGTGTGGGGGGGGGGGCGGTGAAGAGAGGACGCAATTTCGGAGCGGTTTATGTATCTGGTATCTGACTTCAATTTACTCAACATTCACAAATATTGGTTCAAATCCGACCTGAGCTTTTGTCCAGCTAACTTAATATTCTACACTAATGTATTGTATCCACACGTCCCCGCATATGACCTTTGCAAGGTCAGCGTGACTCACTCAAAGGTCTAACGGAAATTCAAGGCTATTATCAATAATAACCTGTTCTTATAGATGATTGACGGAAAGGGCCGAGAAGATGCGATTGCAAAATATGATAATTATGTACATTCTTGTCCTGTTTGAAAGTTGCAAAAAATCGTAGGAATGAATGTTCGTTTTTTTTAATACCCTCTAATTTGTCTTTGTATTAGGTAAGTAAACATTGGTGGGAAACACGATTTTGCGATTCAATATATTTGGTAAATCCCCCCTCTACCTGGTGGTGCATATCAAATATCATAATATTTATATAAATTGACACACTAACAGAGAAGTTTTATTTCAGAATTGAGGTTTGGTTTAACCATTCAGAAAACAGGAAGAAAACTTTTAAACGTTTTTCATATAATTGGAAACATGCCAAGATAAATGAACTGGAAAAAGCAGACTAAAGCATAGCCTTGATCTAATTTAGGCTAAAAGTAAGGTAATTAACGGTTTACTTTTGTTTTATTCCCAAAGTTTCGAAATAATACATATTAATACGTGTATATTAAAACTTAATTAAACGTAGGAAAGCGAAAGCACAGGTTTGAATTTATGACAATACATACCTTTAAAACTTTTTCCGTTGAGAATTTCTTTGACCTTGACCCTTGTTCACCATACAAAGTTGTGTATGCCCCATACACAGCCTGAAAGTAATGTAATTCGTAGAAATACACAACTGTCATTTATGCAGCTGTTCTATAATTTATACAAATGTTCCAATATGTGGAATAAATTCACAATGATATTAGATGGCAGACCAAATTTCTACATAATCTACAATATATTGTCAATTAAATTATGAATATACATGTAAATATTCCTAAAAGCACATAACAAATTATCGTTAATTGGCAGTAGATCGCACTATCGTTGCTATCTTATTTCTACAATACTTTGTCAAGTTTGATGAGGTATTGAAATGAATTTCTAAATATAGATTTTATTGAGCACAAATTGACAAACTATCTTACCTGAACAGTAGATCGTAGTTTCATTTCTACATTATCTACAGTATTATGATGCGATCTTGAAATTAGTTTCTTTTTGGCTTTGTTCCATTCCATCGTAGTTCGCATGTCTTTGAGCACTTTATTTAAGTCATCATCCTTTTTCATCTCATTACCAAGTGATCTGAAATGATAATGATATATATAAATGGAAATAGGTTTAAGACGGAAAAGCCTTGGAAAGGGAATACGATTAAGATACGGGTAACTCTTAAGGACTTTCCTGGATAACTCTTAAGGACTTACTGCAACAATGTATGCCAGAAACAAATAACTAATAAAAAAAAAAAAAATAAAATAAAAGCTTACTGACTTAACATTTGGAAGCCGAGTGGTTAAGGTTGCTGATTTGAAATCGCTTGATCGTTGTTGGTTCGAATCCCACCAGGGACATTCATGTGTAAAAGCAAAATAACTACAAGTCGGTGATGCAACTCAGGTTTACTGCCTCAAATAATACAAGTAAGGGCATTTGAGATCTTTCGCCACCTGTAAAACTTGAAAGCCGCCATTATATTATTACGATGGTCACAGTGCCGATGTAGCCTAAACTTTAACAAACATTTTGGATTGAATTGTCTGTAGATCTATATCAGTGAATATATCTTAAAGTACTGGTTGAAATACAGTTCAAGTTGAGACAAAAGTTATTTCTATGCCATATACCATACCTTCTATCAGACTTTGAAGTCACACATTCAGGTTTAGATCCCTGGTAGTGAGACTTGTCAAATGAACAAGAAGATTTAGATTTTAAAAGTTGTCTCTGTTTCCCATCTTTTCTCAGATCAGTCGGTTGATTCAATGGGAGAAATCCATTCGGAAAAGATGAACTGCGGTCACGGCCTGTTGGACCCTTGTTGGGATCGTTTGGTAATGTTTGAGACATTGTACATCTAACATCGATCGATTCGGACGTATTCGAGCGTTGGAGTCGAGAAGGTCGAGGGTTAGGGATAGGAGGTCGGTCAACATGTTCTGGCACGTGTTCTGACGGAATCGATGCATAACCATGATTACTGTGCTGTAAAAACAATTCATTAAATAGTTTGAATACAACATTACTATGTGATTTGATAGAAAATATAACCTTAAATTATGTCCCATTTCTTCCAATGTTCCCTTAATATAATAAATAAATAAAAACAAAATATTAAAAAAACAAAAACAATTTCTGCATATTTACTTCAAAGTCCATCCATGAATAATAATAAAGCTATGCACAAAAAATACCATGTTTTTACAGTCATTACGTCTGACGTACAAATATGACCTTGACATAATTTTGATCGGACACGACCATTGATGCACTTAAAATATTCATATCATGACTTTGGAATGCATGTGTGACCTTAACCTTTGAACTTGTGACCTGATTCCTACATGCGAGCCATCGACACTATGTTCAACACATTACTGTATGGTAATTTTCAAATCTATTAAGGGATGACATGAGGTATTGACCGGACACGAACATTAGTGCATTTTTATGACAAGTTTTCTTTAAGTCAGTGTGACATTGACTATTGACCCCATCCAGACAGTCTGACGGATCGACGGACAGTTGGTCGCACGCTACAAAATCTATGCCTCTCTATCCCGGGAGGTGGGGGCAAGAAAAACAAACTAACTTTCATTACAGAGATATCCTTTTACATTTGAACTGCATTTAAATCTAAGAAAATTAGAAATATGATAAAATTTTACCAAAGGATCAAACATTTCATCTTCTAACCCATCATTTGTGTCATCTTCTCTGGTTATGAAATTTCCGTTTTTAACGTCAGTCCAGGTAGAATGGATTGCCTCGTTTTCAGCACAGACTTTGCAATCACCATTGGTGCTTCGGTTTCTAAAATTATCATGTTCGTCCATTTCTAGGCAAAAACTGTTAAAAGAGTCCGTATTGTCAAATATTCCATCATGAGCACGATTCATAACCAAATAACCATCTTTATCAAGAGTACCTATTGCACAGCTTTTGCTATTCGTTTCCTTAACAGATGTCTTTTTAAATTCCATAGTTTCGACGAAACCTTGTCTATGACGAGTGCATAATTGATGCTGTTTTTTCACATATGAATACCCTCTGTAATCAGATGCCTCTCGGCAACGAAGACTAAACTGCTCGTCACTTTCCGGGCCGGCGACTGACGGGTTATTATTGTCATATGCAACAGTTAAAGTTAAAGGCCTTGAACCGTTATGAACAATTCCTAAAACGTCATCTAAATTGTTATCGCTTTCCGATGTTTCGTTGTCAGTTTCGTCAAAGTTATTTCGCGCAAACATATCCTTGTCGGTCTCTACTTCTTGATTTTTATTATATTTATTTAAAGTTGGATTTTCTAATGGCCATGACAAAGGTCTAGCAGTGTGTGGTTGCTTTGACATTGTAGCATTTGAACTGGCTGGTACTGAAAGTGATGTTCGTACTGATCCGTGTGTCTTTTTCTTAAGTTCCTCATTCTCTTTTCGTAATGCCGCTATCGTTTTCTTGTTTTCTTTTAGTTTTCCTTCATACTCAGCAATCAATCTGAAATTACAAAATATAGATATGACGGGACTGGAAATAGTTTTATCAAGATGGTCATACTATTTGATGTAATTCTGTACTATTAATTTGTATGCAAATTTTAAATCTGTGGCTAACTCTCATTTTGCACAATAATTATTTTTTATCGGGCAAAATGAAACCCCAAAAAAGTGTTGCGACGCTTTTAAATCAAATCCGACTAAGGATTATTCTAAATATTGAGCTTCCATTTAAATTTGAATGTATTTCTTTTTTATCTTTTATCATATTTTTCAATTTTAATTTTCCAGTTGCATTTGATAAACATGACTTGTATCTAAAAGTTTTAGTTGTTATATGTTTAGACTTTTGGACCTTAAGAATTCATAAACGTGACTAAACTGGTGTTGCAGTGACGTCAGCTTTTCAAATTTGTTGCATTAAATGTTAAGTTCATTACATGGAGAAATTCATTGTGAATTGCACCGGTCTTCAGCATGCTAGCGTATATTTTCATACCATTTTCAACGTCCCTTTTATAAAAGTGTATACGTGTGAAAAATGTTTGTATCTGTTTACTTAATATTGTGTGTTTATATTACATACTGTGGGAGTTAAATGAATAGCATTAAATGTAAAATACATATTTATTTAGCTACCAGACAAAAGATTTGAGAAATACCTTAAAAAGTAAAAAAATGAAGAAAAAATCATTAGAGGGTTATTTTCGTGCTTAAACATCTGAAGCACGGGGACAAATTTGAAGCCCCAGTCTGCAGGGCGAGGGTTTTATAAGTAAAGGGGCTTCTGCAGATGTTAATGCACGAAAAGAGTGCACTAGCGCTATTCGTGCATTAAAATGAATCGGTATGTCTGTTTTTCGTTTGAAGAAAACGGTTTCGTCATGCTTTTCACGTAATGAAAGGAATGCTTTTTAACACCAAGGTTTACAAGGACAGTCATTACAGTAAGCTATTTTCCCATGGAGCCCTGAATCATGCGTATTGAAAAAAAATGCGAAAACGGCGCGTCCACATGTTAATGCATGATGTCTTCCCGGTGTTAAACATATAAAGTTTTAAATTATGGACCACATTTTTTACATTTCACATTTTTATATGTTAGAAAGAACAAAAAAAATTCAGTGTACATGTAGAGTCACGTGTTAAATTAGTGATATGAAATTATTTACACCCGTTCCAATATATAGGTCACCGTATATTGGAAAATATCAAACTTATGTATATCATCACAACTTAGAGTAAGGCTGTCTAAAAGATCAAACTTTAAAACATTTGTAGTTTATATTTAAATTTATGATAATTATTAATAAAGAGACTATATACAATAATAAATTAAGCTTACTTCTCTTGGACCTTCACTCTTTTATTAAGTTCCGCCATTTGTGTAATAATAAGACCCATTTCGTCTACTTTAGCGTCCAGCCTGTAAACAAGATCTTTCTTTTCAACATATGGTACCAATTTCTCCGACCGTGGAAAGGTATTGGCTGATTGTTGAAAGTGCCCGCCATTTTGTCCGGCGAACGGCAACACCGGACTACTTTGCGGCGAGGATTGAGTACAACTTGACTGCACACTCTCTAACCGTCCCTCCAGATCGAGTTTCGCCAGTAGATGTACCTCCATCTTTTTTATTACATGTTATTGCAACCTTTACCTTGCCCTGTTAAATTGTCAAAACAACATTACAAAAACTATACATAACCATAATGCCTCCAGTTTTACTGAGTTATCTTTTTTTTCTTTTTTCTTTTTTTTTAAAAAGAAAAACTTTCGAACACGAAGTGTATGCGCCCGTGGCGTATTTATTGGATAGGTTGAAACATTATACCTGCATGAAGTATCATTAACATCTAAATATTTATAAATCTACGCTTCATTGAAGCAAGGGTTATATATTTATATATTTTCGTAAATATTTTTTTTCAGACATTCGAATACATCAAGCAATATTGTGTGGTATACCATTCTTTTTAAAGTCGACATAATATTTATAGTGTCAATGTGACTGTTAACCAAGCCACAAAAAAGAGAATTGATTTCACACATGGTTTTTCACTATATGCATCTAATGTGTGAAGTTGGCGATCTAGCGGCACAGCGGCCTAGCGACGTGAAGTTGACGACCTAGCGGTCCATAGGCCTGGGGGCGTGAAGTTTGCGGCCTAGCGTCATACATAATATGAGTACATGATACATTGTTTAATGTAGTTAACGTAATTTATCATTTGTAATACACATGCATTTGTTTAAATCAAATAAAGTTTATTGCCTTGATATTGAAACTTCCTTGTTATTTGCCATCAACTGCAGATGATGCAGTTTCGTATCCGGGTTGTGAATCGGTAAAAATGTTATACACATGTTTCAGATGTCAAGGTCTCGGAATTTACCGGTTCTTCTATAATATAATATCAATTTATCTTTAAACTAAACTTAATTATGACCCAAAAAAAATCATCTGAATGGAAATAAGTTTGAATGAGATTAAATAATCTATATTACCGATTTATGGAACTACATGTATTATAAATAGGCCAAATTTAGGGGTTTGTAAAGCCTTATATAGATGCATAAAAACATGAACATTGCCAATTTGAAGATGACACCTGAATGCAGAGTCTTTACAACGAATATAACGTTGTACATGAATAAAATATACACACTTCAATTAGGTTGGTACATTGCCGTAACGGTAAGAAAATGATACTTACTGGTTATTTGGAATTAATCCTCTCACTAAATACAAAATAATAATTATATCATAACAATTATTTATATAGATATCTAGATAAACACAATACACATTACATTTTAACGTCTGCTAGATATATATTTTAGATGAATTGAATGAATAAATCTTGTGTTTACTTCATAGAATTCATACGCACGACTGGTTGTGACGTCTCAGTAGCCATAGCCAATGAATGCAGATTTTAGACGAGGGATATTCACAAAGTTTAATGAAATGTTTGACAATAAGATTAACAGGGTGTTAACCCTGCCCTACATAGTTAAAATATATGTTATGCACATTCAGTGGGTTTTAAATAAAATTTAAAGGCCCATGCTAACGTGGTAAAAAGGAAAATGAAAACGGTATAATAATAGTTATATGTAGTACCCAGGCCGGCACATCATCAAGGATGCTAAGCTGAGCTTCTTAGGCCAAGTTTGAAGTGTTTTCCCTTCTTGTTTATTTTTCATCCACTTCTTTGTGAGGGTTCTCATATTATTGTGAATGTTTATTTGTATATCCTCAATTTATTAGATACACTATATCAGTTTCTTTTACATCTTTTAGATTATATTCAGAGCTATTTCAGTACTAAGGGTGCATTACTTAAGTACCAGTAACAGTACTTGCCAAGTTATGCAGTACCATTGCCAGTACCAGTATTAGATTTTAGCTCGGTATTGCAGTGCCAGTTCTTTTTGGGGGAAAGTAATTAAGTATCAGTACCATTATTTTATATATTCATCAAAGTTTGAATAAATACACAGTGTCAAACAAAATAATTGCAAATATTATTCAGCAAAGAAATAAAATCAGTTACTTTAAAGTTCAAATTACATGTTTACAACTTAAGTGATTGAAGATACTTTTTACAAACAATATTTACCACATATATTCAGGTCATATATTATTGTTTAGTAACCAGTCAACTGTATAAATAAAATGCAATCATCTTTCATTTAAAACATAACATAACATAATATTTATTCAGCAATGTTACAACATTTATAGCCATTTCAATCTATAATCTATAAAACACAGCAGTCTTTTGGTGCCTTTCACACCTTCACACCTCTGTTCAATTTATACCAAAGTAAATAACAACTTTTTATGGTGCTAAAATAGGAATATTTAGAATTGAAGCAATTAATAAGTGTTTATCTACTAGTAAACACAAAGAGAAAAACTGATGACATTTTTATCAAAACCAAGGTTCTGCTTGGTAATGCAGTAGCAGTACCACTTTTTTAAGACAGTAATGCAGTACCAGTACTAGTAGTAGCAACATTTTGTAAGAGTTATTCAGTATCAGTACCAGTACTTGAAAAATCACTGCAGTACGTACTAATAATAATAATAATAATAATAATAATACTTTGCATGGTCTTAGAACATGATACCAGAAACATCTAAGTGATAATGAAATTTGGTATCACCACCTCTTTTCCGAGTTATCTGCCCTTGAATTTAAATGAATGAATGAATGAATGAATGAATGAATGAATGAATGAATGAATGAATGACTGGATGGATGGATGGATGGATGGATGGATTATAGAAAAGATTTTTCATTCTGCTATATGTCTGTTTGTCACTGTTGCATGCGCTTTTAATCGGTATATTTCCGTGAGCTATATTATAAACACAAATATTCATGTCCATCATATACGTCACAATCGGTATATAAATAGAAGCTCTAAAACGGATGAAAAACAGTCCTTGCATGTCTTATGGTAGGTGCTATATTGTGTCATGTAGCCAGTTTTCCTCGTCTGTTTTCGTCTGTTTTGTCGTGGCATCACACGTTAAAGCTGTACAAACGTCACATGCACGTTACGTACGGTCATTTTGTCTGATGTTGCCAATTATTGACATGTCAGCAGTTTATCGTGTCAAAAGTGACATCATTCTCTGTCTGACATATCAGCCATGCACGTGCCAAAGTTATAATCATTGTGGCAGTAAGTAGTACTGAGACTGCCATAATTTTCACATGCAAATGTTATCGCATGTCAATCCAGCTGTGCCATCGATGTGACTTTTTAGCATGTTTTGTGCTAGCAACGTCATCCTTGTGACGTGTCAGCAGTCGACATGCTTCTCTCGACTGTGGATATGGATTCCTGGAAACTAACTAGCTAACACGAATAGCACATTAAGGCCTCATTCACCAGTAAAGAGGGAAAGTCGACGTATGACCTTTGTGACAGTGTACTGTCTTGATGTGACTCAAACTCCAACAACACAAACATGCGGAGGTGAAGTATTTCATAAGAAATGAAAGAAATATGCAAGTTACCTCCTTACAACAAAAGCAACAAATATAACTAAAGAAGTACTGCACAATATATCAAAAATTTTAAATCTCTCTAAAACAATTGTCGGCAACAACCCAAATATTTATCACCCAAGTGAGTTGCTTTGCAGAGGTTGTGTTATATATACATTGTGAATAATTTATATAAATAAATATACCGGTATTATCTTTAAAGGCCCTTTATGCCTCAGAAATGCATTTATTTCTATTTTTCAAACTAACGCGTACTTAAAGAGTTTCCAAAACGTAAGTGATGGCCAATACATAGTAATATTGTATTTGGTATGAATGTCAAAATATATTTTTGTTTATATTTTGCTTCTTTTAGGATACATTATTTCATAATTTGCGTTATTTTAAGTAACAAACATCTAACATGCCATTAAACCATTATATAAAATTCATGTTTGCCCTTCCTAAAAAAAGCATCTAACGTAATCTAAAAACATTATATTTAAACTTTCTAAAAAAATAAAACAAAATATTTGTTTCTGGGGCATGATGTGCCTTTAAATAATGTATATGATACAAATAAAGAAAAAATTGTATAATCTACCCGCCATAATTATTGTTACATTATATAAAAGTTGGGAAAAGTAGGGGATTATCCTATTTGCACCCTTCATTATGTTTTTCTGAATGCCAGTAAAAGAATCGAGGTCACCGAAACTAGTATTATCTAATGTTCTATTGTTTCAAAACAAATGGAAGTATATCATTTCAATCATGTGAATGAAATTAATCCCGGATATGTCCTTGAAAATTTTCCGCGCTTTTTTAAAATTCAATTCAAGCAGATATGCAATGGTGTACTTATTGAAACCTGTATTTTTCCACAACCTGTTTTACTTCCAAGTTAATCTTGAACAATCAAGAGATTAATTATTGGAGGGTAAAGATTGCTAATCATGTGAGAGTTACCTAATTACAAAAGAAAAACAAACAAAAAACATTCAGTTGATTAAGTAGAGCATAAAGCAAAAGAATGGGGCTGACCGCAAAGTTGTTACCCTTTATGGAAAACATTTTTTATAATTATTTTTCAACATCGATCTGTCTGTAAATTTTTGCCAAAGGATTTTTTTTTAGTAAAATGACGTCATCCTTCAAGTGAAGATGTTGTTCATAAAATGGATACGTCTTTGTCTAAATATAAGAAGCTGTCACAAATACAGGTACAGTATACATTTATTTTCCTTGTAAAGTAATACAACACAGAAATGATGTTTTGAATATGAAATGATAATTTAAATGGTGTGCGACGTACATTACATAATATACGTGGCAATAAATTCAACAATTTTCTTTCCTGTCTTCACTAGGTTATATCCCGCGTGTTTGTTTATGATCTTATCTGTAAGTATAATATATTATCATTTTACATAATTATTTCAAAAGATTTCTGTCCTGTGAACTATAACTAAATAGTCTAGTTCCCTGGTAAGGTATTTAATTACAAACTTGGTATTTACCTATATAATGTGTCTTTTATTACAATATAACTAGTGAGTGTTTGTCCAATAGAATTGAAGTATTTCAAATGAACTTTGGTAAATCGGCAAGCCGCGCCTGACCAATTTAATTTTGTAAATACGTACTAATAACATTTAACCTTTTCACAAAATCTGACTGAAATTTCCCTTTTATTTCATATTGACTAGACAAAAGTTCTCTAAATGTAGCATATTTTATTCCTATTGAATATTTTGTGATTGAAATTGAAAAGTTTTAACAATATTTTGTATGTAGATTGTAACTAGATCTATTTCTTGTTAGGATGAGAACTTGTGCTCAAGCCTGATAATAAACTATTTTTGTTCTGTTCTGTAAACATTACTCGTCCCAGTACCATATCATAAGGCTAATAATTCAAGTAGAAATACTGGAACAACCCAAAAAGAAAAAATATCAAATAGAACAAGAACTTAAAAACACACACAAACTCAGATGAGCTCTTCAATGACCAAAAATATATAATTTCTATGAATTTGGAATAAATTTTTAAAACATCGAATTTCATGCTATTTTATACGCGAATTATCTTCATACTTGGATACACAATGCATGTGGTCGACAGACTCAGTTTCACGTATTTCACGAAACTGAAGTATGGTTTGAACAAACACAATTTTTACCTTCAAGTTTCATTTTCAAAATTCAGGCAATTTACAATTTAAACCTTACCTTACGTTTACAGAATTTGTGCACGCAATTGTTTTATTTCAAACATCAGTCTCAACAAAATAATAGAATAATAGTAAAATGTAACAGTAATAATAATGAAAATAATAATAATAATAATAATAATAATAATAATAATAATAATAATAATAATGATAAGAAGAAGAAGAAGAAGAAGAAGAAGGAAGGAAGAAAGAAAGAAACAAACAAACAAACAAACAAACAAACAAACAAAAGAGACACTGATATCATCTTTTTTATTATTTTATTATTATATGTATTCATTTATTATGTATAATTTATTATCATCTCTTATTAATTAGTCAACCTTTTAAGGACATTAAATTGCTTTTTTTTTCTTGTAAAGACAGATAAGCATGTACTTTATATAAGCAAAGTTTCTACTTTGATTCTCTCCCATTCATCGATTTAGTTTGCGTGTACCATCAGCGAATCAGAGGTTCGATTTAGATAAGTTAGTTTAACAGGGAGTGTTTATTGCATAATTACTTTTTACATGTATTATAATTACAGCTAAAGTCCGTGAATCTTCAGCGAAAACCTTTAACATTTTTAATGAACAATTTGAAGTACTTCTTACAAAATTTATTGTTTATACCATACTATTTTTGTCACTA